TCTTGGGGGCTTGGGGCTGGCACCGGTTTCTCACTTCACTAGGAGGCTCCCCTGTCACCGGGCAAAGACTCCAATCTGGCTGAGCAGCCTCGCCGGAGGATAAACTGTCTTCCCAGTGGAGGTGGGAGGGTGGAGGTCAGCTGGGGATTCAGGCTGCCAGAGTGGGAAGGGAGAGTTCACCAAGGGACAGGAGTTCCGCAGCGGCTTGTGTGTGGTGGGAAGACTCGCCTACCACCGCCGCAGCCCCAACTCTGCGGCTCCCTCCTCTGCAGGTTCAATTCCCCGCACGCTCCCCCTCCCTCCCCCAGGTCTGCTGCTCCCGTGGGTCTGCCAGTCTGGGCGGGGTCTGGACCTGGATGGGGAGGGAGGTGTGCGGGAGCGCCCGGCCAGACCAAAGTCTGAAGTCTCCCACCCCGCCAGCAAAGGGGTCTGGCTCCCAAGAGCCTAACGGATTTTCCTGCCGTTCCCTCTGCATCCCTGATGCTCTCGCCCTGGCTCCCGGTGCGTTCCCCATCCTTTAGGTCCGGAACATTGTGCTCAGAGCTCCTTGCCCCCTGGGCCAAGCACCCTTAGAGAGGAGGTGTGTGTGTGTGTGTGTGTGTGTGTGTGTGTGAGGTTTGCTGGTGACTTAACCCTTTCCCAGGCGCAGGCTTAGAAGAAGCCAGCGCCCTCAGGACAGCCCTCATTCGGGGATCTCAGGGCGCCAAAGGGGGCACTTCTCCATCCAACCCTTGGGGGGCCAAGGGCTCCGGGGACCCTCGCCCCCAGAGCTGGGTTCTATACTCGCACCCCGACTGGGAAGAAGCGCGGTGGAGCCCCGCGTGCCCGAGAGAGAGAGCGAGCGAGAGGATCGGGGAGGGAAAGGGGAAGGGGGGGGGGCAGGGGCAGTGCCCAGAGGAGCAGCGGCAGCAGGTGAGTCCCCGGGCTGAGTCCCCGGGCGGGAGGCGGGCCGAGCGGGGCTTGGGGAGGGAGCCCCGGTCTGGGGCGACGCAGGCGAGGGCTGGGCTAGGAGGGGTGCAGGGAGGCGAACCGGGCGGGGAGAGGGGGTGAAGGGAAGGGGCGGGAGGGGGGGAGGAGGGAGTTCCGAAAGGAGGGAGGCGAGCCGGCGAAGGGCGAGGGAGCCAGCTGCAGGGGAGGAGAGCCTCGGAGGGCCACCGAGCCGGTGCCGCAGCTCGAGGGGCACGGAGGGCTCGCGGGGGGCTGGGGGGAGGGAAAGGGGGGTGCACAAAGACATGCGAAGGGGGGCTGAGCGAGGCTCAGGCACAGAGACGCCGGGGCTGCTCCGACCGCCCCCCCACCCCCCGCACCGCGCCGGGGGCCGGGCCAGCCCGCAGCCCGCAGCCCGCAGCCCGGGGCGGAGCGGGGACCCGGGCGGGCCGGGCTCTCGGGGTGCCCCGGGCCCAGCGGCAGGCGCCAGAGCCCGACCTGGCCCAGGCCTCGCCCTCTGCCCAGCCCGCGGGCGTCCCCTCCTGCCCGCGATCCCGTTGCTGCTTCTCACGCTGCCCCCACCCCCTCCCGCGTCCACCCCGCGCTCTGCTCTCCCCGCCGCTAAAACAAAGCCGGGGAAAATGCCCGCCCGCGCAGCCCGGAGCGCGCAGCCCGTCTCCGAATGAGAAGTGAGTACCATCCCGTCCGTCTTTTGGCACAAAAAGCATTCTGCAGGCTGCATGCCTCATGCTGCTCAGCGCCCCGCCGGAGACACCCGGCTGTAGCGCAGGAGGTGAGACCCCGGGGACCCCCGCCGCCTCCCGCCCCGGCTGCTCCGGGGAGAGGGGTGCTGACGCCCCGCGGGCTGCAGGCGGACCTTGCCCACCTCCCTCTCCCCTTAGCCCACCTCCAACTCCCGTCCCGGGTGCTGGGTCTTCATCTGGGGCTGGAGGCAAACCTCAACCCTACCCCTGCGCCTCTCCTGCCGCCTCTCCCCCCGTCTCCCGCAGGTGCCTGCAGGGTTTTGCATCTGCCTTGGGAATGGGTTTGAGACACCGTGTGTGTGTGTGTGTGTGTGTGTGTGTGTGTGTGTGTGTGTGTGTGTGTGTATGTGTGTGTGTGTGGATGGGGGGGGGCAGTTTCTGAAGGAGGAGGAGGGTCAAACCCTTGGGAGCAGCAGCCAGGACGCCTGGTGACCCTGGGCACACTTGTTGCCCGTGGCCGTGGCCCGTGGCGCGGTGGGACAGGCAGTGGTGCTGAAAAACGCTCCTTCCTCCTGGCACTGAGTCCTCCATTGACTCTGGGAGCAGAGCGAAGGAAGGTGTACCTGAGTGAGGAGGGGAGAGCAGGACTGAGGAAGGAGGCTGGTGTGCTGGGGGCAGAGAAGGGAGGTCCTGGCGGTGCCCAGGGCATGCGGAGGGGGCCAGTCTCTGGCTCCTTGTGCTCAGTAGCTTCTCTTGCTGATCTCACCCCAAAGAGCTGGAGGTAGGAACCAGAGGGTTTCCCATATGACACGGAGAGAGGAAAGGCTGTTGTTGGTTTTTTTAAAATTTTTTTTCCATTTTGCTATCTCACCAGTTTCTGCCCATTCGGTCTGCCAAATGTGCATTATATATATTTCTGTTAATTAAAGGACACGGCAATAGTTTAAAATAAACCCCATCAGGAAAGGTATGAGCTACACACACACACACACACACACACACACACACACACACACACACACACTTTTAAAAATATACCTATCTCCTTCCTCTGAAAGCATATAATGATGTTTAGTTTGGAGGCTGGGATGGAGGGTTGGGATCTGGGGAGCATCCAGGTAAATCCTCTTGGTGTTTTCTGGTTCTGCAGACTGGAAACCACTGACGGGAACAATCAGAAACAGGAGAGAGCAGAGAACTGCAGAGAGAGGCGTGGAAGCTTCCTCCTGAGAGATAATGTTGAGCTCCTTTGTGATTTCGTTATTTTTATTATGAAAAAAAGGGGGCTTAATTTTAGGTTATGACCTTTATTTTTCACTCAAACTCATAAGGCAGCGTGGAGGTCTGGTGGGGTGGTTAGACAGCAGATGAGAGATGTTAGCTATTTTCAGCATTTCTATTTAAAAGGTTTGTGTGTGTGTGTGTGTGTGTGTGTGTGTGTGTGTGTTAATGAAAATCCTAAACATATAGCCAGTGCTGATTTTGAGTAAAGTTGTCTTTATGAATCCGAGATGTTAAAAGTGTCTGTTAGTTTGGGGCTTTATTCGGAGCAGGTGAGAGTCCCAGGAGAGACACGTGTGCATACTTATACTTAATTGCTGCAAGGAACGTATGTGGAGATCCCTGTAACCTCATCAGAGCCCTGGCTTCCTCTCTTCAAAGTCAGAAGCATTCAGAGCTTCGCTGGTTGAGGTTCCCTCTGTTATCCACCATCATTTCACAACACTGCTTAGCACTGGTGCTTCAAATAGCTTTATTTGCAAAGCTTCTTTTTCTGATGGGAAACTGAAGGTTTAGTTTAGGAATCCAAACTGTGGTAGTCCTAAATTTAACTCAGCGGTAGTCAAGAGGGCAAGGTATGTAACCATGTGAAAATTGACACTATTTCCTTCTCATCCTCAAGTAATTTAAGTTTCCTGTAGGGTATTTGGAGGCAATTCCATTGGGATTTCCCTTATGCTTACCCAAAAGTGTCTTTTAGATTAGGTTATCATTTTATTAGACTTGTATTATATATACTATTTCTACTTGTTTCTATAACAATTATGGGCAATAAGTTGATTATTCTAGTTGATTTGGTGGCTTTTTAAAATTTCCTTTTTTTGTTGGCCATTCTATTACCCCTTTTGGTTCAATGTTATTTTTCCAATCAAATATATTGTAATAGATGGCTTATTTTCCCCTTAGCAAGTAGAAGTCTGGTATCTCTTGTATTAGCTAAAAAGGAATCCATTAATGATATTTTTGAACAGCTCAGATGAATAATAAATGGATTTAGAGTCACCTCAGAGTATATGGGAATTTGTAAGAGAACACATAAATTCATTCTAATGGAGCAATTAGCTTTGCACAGAGCATGTGGGGTCCAAGGTGTGAGACAAGGTTTTAAACTTTTTTTTTTCTTGATAATATTCACTGTTGAAATGGAAGGGACTTGTCATGTCTTGGCTGCACCAAAGATTTTGCCACAATGGGTAGCGATACTCTTGTTTTTATACACATGTCAGAGACTGAATAACAAAACATAGGGAATGCTTATTCATGAGCCCAATTTAGAGGATAAGAAAAAAAATAATTGGGCTACTGTGGTTTATTTGCCATCATCATGTATTACCAGAAAATTACTAATGTCTTACTTTGAGCAATAATGTCTGGGTCATAAATTCACTTATAATACAATTCCTTTATTATAATGAATTTTTTTTTTTTAGGCAAAAGTAGAGAATGTTATTTATGTTGATTGCTGTGGTATAGAGTGTTAAGGACTTGGCAAGGGGAGTATCCGGGAACCTTCCTCATGCGTATTCAAATATCTACTTTAGCATCATCAACTCTTAGGAGTTCAGTAAGTCTTTGTTGACTCATGGTGAACAGATAATAAATTTTGAAATCAATTAGGAAGCCCTCAGTCATGTCAGAGAGGAAGGGAGAGGGGCAGAGAGATAGAAACATCAACAATTAGAGGGAAGCATTGATTGGCTGCCTCCTGCACGCCCTCCACCGGGCATCAAGCCAGCACCCCAGGCATGTGCCCTGACCAGGAATTGAACCGTGACCTCCTGGTTCATAGCTCAGTGCTCAACCACTGAGCCACACTAGCTGGGCGGGCATGCTTTTATTTTTTTTTAAGTTTCTCGGTCCATCTCCTGTTTGTTTGTTTTTCCCCTCCCATGTGGATCCCCAATAGCAACAGAGAGCGAAGGCCCAGCCCGTTTCCTTGAACCCATTTATATACTCCCTGGCGCACTTCTGGTTCCAGTGCTTCCATCAGGAGAACAGAATCCAGTCAACCTTTGCAACCCTCTTAGACAAGCCCAACTGTCACCCCACTCATCTCCTCCAACCCTAACCCTCCTTCTCTGTTCTCAGTGGCGGCACCTGACTTGCTGGATCCAAAATCTGCCGCTCAGAACTCCAAACCGAGGCTCTCGTTTTCCACGAAACCCACCGTGCTTGCTTCCCGGGTGGAGAGTGACACGACCATTAATGTTATGAAATGGAAGACAGTCTCCACGATTTTCCTGGTGGTCGTCCTCTACCTGATCATCGGAGCCACCGTGTTCAAAGCCCTGGAGCAACCGCACGAGATCTCCCAGAGGACCACCATCGTGATCCAGAAGCAAACGTTCATTTCCCAGCACTCCTGCGTCAACTCCACTGAGCTGGACGAGCTCATCCAGGTAGTGGCGCAGAGGGGTGTCCCTCTGTTTCCTCTGTGGGGGAAGGAAGACTGAGAGGTAGAGGAAGCACCTCATAGCACAGAGCTATCCTGGTTTGCCTGTGGGGGCCCCTGGGTTTCCTTTTCTCCTTCACATGGAATTCTTCTCTGCAGACTGTCAACTTTCCACACAGCTTCCCTCTTTTCTTACTTCTACCACCTTTTCTTCTCCTTTTTCCTTATCTCTCCCTCCCCTATGCCTTCTCATCCTCTTCTGTTCCTGCTCTTCTGTCTATCCATCCTGGCCTCTCCCAGCTTTCTTTCCCTTTGCCCTGCCTTAGAACCACCAGTGGACCCCTATGGACCTGGGGTTACTTGCGGGAGGTCCTTCTGGCTCAGTGGACATTACCACCTGAGAAAGTTTGCTGAGGAAAATCTGAGGCAGGAGAGCTGGGTTGATTGTGGCAGGGACCACCGTAAGGTTAAAAAGACGAGTGTGTGGTGTGATCCTCTGAGCTTGGCACCCCTCGTGATTTACAAGTTGTAGCTCCCATCTTTCATGGAGCCCAATGTGACTGGTAAAAACTAACTGCCTTTTCTGGGCACCGAGGGAGGAGTGGTTAATCATTGCTTCTTTAGACCCCAACTGAAAGCAATGTGCACTGTATGGAAAAATAGAGTTTTGGAATAAAAACTAATTTAGTTTGAATGTACTCTATAAAAGCAGAATAGTATCTTTATGGAGGAACACATTGTTTTAATATATAATCCCAAAGTGACTTGCAAGTTTCAGTTAGGCTCCTTGAGATAGCTATGTTTTTGTTGTAGATTATTTATTTATTTATTTATTTGCATGAAATATAAGCCAAACCAAGAATCCTGGTCAAGAAGAAAGCCCTAGAACTTTCTTATAAGGAGAGATCTAACTGGTTTTTGAAAACACTCTTCCTCATCTTATAGTTGGTTTGACATCATTTGAATGCATTGAAACAGTAGATTGAGAGAAGAAATTATTATTGGTTTTTATCTGGTTTCATGTTCTAAGACTTTTCCTCTTTTATTTCCTTTGGCCATGGATTCCTGAATGCTTTCTCTGCCCTTTGTAGCCCTTTATATTTATAGAATACGCATACCAGTTATTATTGCTCAAATTTTACTCAAAATTATCAGTTAATATTCTCTGACCCTAATTTAGCTCCTACCACATTCAGGAACTTCTGCATCTCACATATTTGACTTAAATTTTGAACAGGCTCCTCATGTGCTTATATACTGAATTCTCTATTGTTTTTAGATGATAGCAACATTTCCAGTATTGACAGTACACCTGGCAGCTAATCTCATTGTTCCTCCCATTCCCTTGCCTGTTCCTACTAAGATCTCAATCACTTTACTCTGTACCTCATAATCATAAGAGGTATCTAAACATTTCTAAAGAATCCCCATGTCCCTTGGGTGTTAGAAGAAGAGTTATAAATTAAAGAAGAAGAAGAAGAGTCCTAGGCTATCTTGGAGGTAGCCCGAAGTAGTGGTAAAAGCCTAAACTTTGGGATAAATGTATTTTAAGCTTCAGTTGAATATTCTTTTAGAGGTGCCATCTTGAGCAAGTAATGTTGCTCTCTAAATTTTAAATGCTTTCTTTGGACTGAGGAAAGAATACATATAAAAGAGGGTTGCTGGGAAGAATAAAGAGATAATTCAAGGAAAGCATTTAAGTGCTTAAAAAAATGTTAGGTTTGTTTGCTGTTGTTATCCCCTTATTCCATATTCCTACTCCATCCCTTTTTTTTTGGATTGAAATATCTGATTCTTGTCATCTGAATTGAGATGGGTTTAGTCTTGGACAGGAGAAAAAGGCCTGGGATTTCAAGACACTGCTGGAGGAAACTGTGTGAATTCGAAAATGGTCCCACTCTTCGGCACCACCCAGATTTAGGACTTGGGATCGTGCAAACAACTTGAAGGTCATGGCCAGTGGAGACCATCTGGAGGCGGAGATGGTCATTTTTGCAACATTGCTTTTGGAATGCCAACAAACAGCTCAGCATATGACCTAATTCTTTTCTTTCTGCCCCACAGAGGCAATCCACTTTAGCTTCATTAATATTCACTGCTGGTTGAGTATTTTTGTGCTTATTTAGTTTTTTTTTTTTCAAACGCAGAAGTTGCCCATTGCTTATTACATTACTCACCTTTATAACCATATGGCTTTAATAAGTTATGTTCTCTCTCTTTGGTAAAATAAATCTTTATAATGGCATGGCTTCAAGGACCAAGATCAGTGTTTTAAGAGGGAGGAAGGCAAATGAGCCAGTAATCATATATTAGAATTACATTTCACTCATCTGATTTTCATAAATTTCAGGGTGATTTATTTTCCTATTTAACCATCCTTTAAAACCTCACTACTACATATATTATTATTATAACTTTGTTCCTGGAGACTTATTCTGTTCCTTTCATTGCGTCATGCTTCCCTGTCTTTCTGTTGTGATCTATCCCTTTGAAAAAACAGCCCCCTCTTCCATCTTTACCTACTGACTATGTGTAGGAAAAGACTTTCACCAATTAGCTGTGCTTGAGAGGCCTCTCAAACCTTTGCTGTAGATTCATCTTCTCTGGGCTTGTGCATGCAAATTCCCAATTAGATGGATTTGCCAGTTTCTTTCTTTCTTTATTCTTTCTTTCTTTCTTTCTTTCTTTCTTTCTTTCTTTCTTTCTTTCTTTCTTTCTTTCTTTCTTTCTTTCTTTCTTTCCTTTTTTTTTTTTTTTTTTTTTTTTTTTTAAAGGGGCTTGTAATCTCTTGCTACCTCTGGTGTCTATCCACAGTACTGCAGGTTTTCTGGAATTGCTGGAAGCCAATCAAGTCACTTTTAGCCTCAGTGGTCCCCAGGTTTGTGGAGTGTGTTGCATCCTATCAGTACTCTGTGTTGGGCAAGACAGAAACTATCTCTTTGGGTAGCCCCCCAAAAGCCAGAATGTCGGACGCATGCTCCACTCTTTCCTTGCCCCACGACGGAGAGGCTGCCACACTGTGTTGGCCTCTGTCTGCTGTACCATGGGTCCTCTGGAGCAGAGGCAGGATGTCCAGCTCACTTTTGTTCTCAGTGCTTCTCAGGCATCCAGACTGTGCCAGGCCCTATCAGTGCTCTGAAGTAGACAAGATGGAAACCAGTCCCGCCCAGCCAGCGTGGCTCAGTGGTGGAGCATCAAGCTATGAACTAGGAGGTCGTGGTTTGATTCCTTGTCAGGGCACATGCCCAGATATTGGGCTTGATCCCCAGTGTGGGGCATGCTGGAGACAGCCGGATCAATGATTCTCTCTCATCATTGATGTTTCTCTCTCTCCCCACTCTTCTTCTCTTAAATATATATATATATATATATATATGTATGTATTTATTTATTTTATTTTATTTTTTAAAATATTTTTATTGATTTTTTTACAGAGGAAGGGAGAGAGATAGAAAGCTAGAAACGTCGATGAGAGAGAAACACCGACCAGCTGCCTCTTGCACACCCCCTACTGGTGATGTGCCCGCAACCAACGTACATGCCTCTGACCGGAATCGAACCTGGGACCTTCCAGTCCGCAGACCGATGCTCTACCACTGAGCCAAACTGGTTTCGGCTATATGTATGTATTTAAAAGAAACCAGTCCCTTAGGCCAAAACATTAGATGCACATTCCAACTCTTTCCCTTCTCAGGGGCTGGGAGTTTTCTTCTGATCATGCTGCATTGAAGTAGGGGAAAGACTGGTGATCTGAAAGATAATACACACATACCGTGGAGATATTGTGGGGTTTGATTCCAGACCACCACCACAAAGCTAGTATTAGGATGAAGCAAGTCACAATTTTTTTTAAAATTTTATTTCCCAGTGCATGTAAAAGTTCTGTTTACAACATACTGTAGACTAACAAGTGTCTTGAAACAATAGCATTCTGTCTTAATACATCATAAATGCCTTAATTAAAGAACACTTTATTGCTAAAACATGCTAACCATCATCTGGGCCTTCAGTGAGTCACCATCTTTTTGCTGGTGGAGGGTCTTGCCAGGATGTTGAGGGCTGCTGACTGAGCAGCGAGGTGGATTCTGAAGGTTGCCACATCAATGGACCCTGCCTTCCATGACTGCTTTCTTTGTAGCATGTGATGTTGTTTGATAGCATTTTACCCACAGTAGAAATTCTTTCTGAATTGGAATCAGTCCCCTCAAAACCTGCCGCTGTTTTTCCAACTAAGCTCATGTAATAGTCTCAATTCTTTGTTGTCCTCTCAGCAATTTTCACAGCATCTTCACCATCAGCTTGTTCTGTCTCAAGAAACCACTCTTTGCTCATCCATAAGAAGCAGCTTCCCATCCATTCAAGGTTGGTCATGAGATGTCCCAATTCAATCACATCTTCAGGCTCCTCTTCTCATTCTAGTTCTGTTGCTATTTCTACCACATCTGCAGTGACTTCCTTCACTGAAGTCTCCCCTCAAAGTCATCCGTGTGGGTTGGAATCAATTTCTTCCAAATTCCTATTAACGTTGACATTTTGACCTCTTCTCATGGACCACAAATGAATGTTCTTAATGGCATCGAGAATGGTGGATCCCTTCCAAAGCTTTCAATTTACTTTTCTCAGACCCATCAGAGGAATTGATATCTATGGCAGCAAAAGCCTTACAAAATCTATTTCTTAAATACTAAGGCTTTAATGTTGACATTATGTCCATGGGCTGCAGAATGAATGTTGTGTTAGAAGACATGAAAACAATATTCAGCTCACTGTACATGTCCATCAGAGCTTTTGTGTGACCAGGTATGTTGCCAGTGAGCAGTCAGAGTTTGAAAGGAATTTGTGTTTTTGAACAGCAGGTCTCAACGGTGGGCTTGAAATATTCTTTAAACCATGTTGTAAACAGATGTGCTATAATTGAGGCTTTGTTGTTCCATTTATAGAGCAGAGTCAGAGTAGATTTTGCATAATTTTTAACGGCCCTAGAATTTTCAGAATGGCAAGTGAACA